ACCACGGCGGCGACGACGACGACGACGACTGCGTCGTCGACGACGACAGCAGCGGCGACAGCTCCTGCATGACCGCGACCACGAGACGGCGGTCGACGCGCCCGGCGGCGGCGGCGGCGGCGGCGGCGCGCGTTTCGTGATGACCCTCGGACGGTCGCGCGTCGTCGCCGTGGTCGTCGCCGCCGCCGCCGCCGCCGCCGCCGCGCGCTTCGACCCCCGTCTCGTGCTCGCGGTCATCCAGGAGCTCTCGCCGCCGCTCTCGTCGTCGCCGACGCACCCGTCGTCGTCGTCCTCGCCGCCGCGATACTCGCGCGGCGCCGCGGGGACGATCTCAGTTGAAGCGACGACCGACCGGGGAGGAGGCGCCGCGGCGGGAAGCGCCGCCTCCGCCTCCTCCTCTTCCGCGGCGGTCTCCTCCTCCTCCTCCTCCGCCGCCGCCGCCGCCGCCGCCGATTCGATCCCCGCCGCCGCCTTCGCCTTCGCCTTCGCCTTCGCCTTCGCCTTCGCCGCCCTCGCGCTCTTCGCGGCGGTCGCGGCGCCCGCCTTCTCCTCCTCGCCAAAGTCCGCGAGCTCGTCCATGTGCCGCGAGAGCTCGTGCTCCGCGTACGCCGCCGCGGCGACCGCGACGGTCTGCTCGAACATCACCTTGGCGACGATGTCGTGCGCGTCGGCGCGTATCGCGTCGTTCGCGGCGACGATCTCTCCTCGCCAGCGCTTCGCGGCGTCGCTGAAGAGCGTGAGCGTGTGTGCGATCTCCTCGGTGAGTTTCTTGGGGAAGATGGCGACCGCCGCCGGCGAAGAACGGTATTCGTCGTCGGCGTCGTCGTCCGTCGCGGTCGCGTTCGCGTCCGCGCACAGCTGTGCGCGCGTCTCGTCCGTCGCGGTCGCGGTCGCGTCCGCGCACAGCTGTGCGCGCTCGCGCTTCGCCTCCTCGCGCCTCTCGCGCTCCTCCATCTCTGCATCGCGCGCTTCCGCGCGGCAGTCGATCAGCCACCGCAGCGCGTTCCGATCGATGCAGTCGATGTGCCGCACGAGACCCGCGAGGCTCCACCCCCCCGTCTTGAGCTTCTCGCCGCTCTCGTTCCACCGTCGCATGACGGAGTAGAGCTCGTCCGCGCGTTCGCCGCGCGCTTTAAGCATCTCCTCGCGCCGCGCGTCGCGTTCGCGCGCGTCGCGGAGAAACCGCTCCACCTCCGCGCTCTTCGGAGGCGCCTTCGGGGCCCCTGGCGTCGCGATAGAAGACGCGTCGGGGCGGGCGCTCGATGAGGCGTTCGAGTGCTTCTTCGCCTCGGCGGCGGCGAGAATCGCGCTCGCGGCGGCGTCAGCGGCGTCGCGCCCGGGTCCCCCCGCGTTCGCCGCGGCGACGGCCGCGTCCACCGCCGCCATCGCCGCCGCGCGCTTCGCGTCGTCGCCGTCGCCGTCGCCGTCACCCCCGCCGCCCCCGCTGCCTCCCTCGCGCGGCGGCCGACCCGCTCCGCGCCCGCGCCCCCCCCGCCCGCCGCCGCAGACGTCCTCGATGCGATCGCCGTCGCCGTCCACGCCCGCGTCGCGCCACCCTCCGGGGGCGACGTCCGTCCTCAGCAGCGTCCTGGCAGTCCCGTCGTCGTCGTCGTCGTCGTCCGCGCGATTCTCCCCCTCCTCCTCCGCGGACTCCGCCTCCGCGCGCGCGCCGCGGAGCACTTCGTGGACGTGGTCGCACTCCAGCGTCGCGAGGTGCGCGTTGTACGCCATCACCGCGTCCGTCGCGAGCGCGCACAGCGACTGCGTGGGTGAAGCGATCGGTCAGTCGAACGTCGTACCGGTCAAACGTTGAAAGGGAAGCGCGGGTGAAGAGTGTCGACGGGAAAAGTCCTTAAGGAACGGCGCGCGCCACGCGAACGGGGTCGTATGGGAAGCAGTCTCACCTCGGCGTTGTCGTCGCCGAGGGCGTGGTGGCGGTTCTGGATGTCCTGCTCGATCGCGGCGGTCTCCTCCTTCAGCGCCGCGAGCGCGGCGTGGAGGCGGGCCTTCAGCTTTTTGCCGCCCTCGATTCTTCCCACGCCGCGTTCGCGGGGTTTGCCGCCGGCGCCGGCACCGTCCGCCGCGTTGGCGTTGGCGTTGGCGTTGGCGTTTTCGCCGCCGCCGTCTCTTCCGTCGCCGTTCGCTTCCCTGTCGAACCGGTGCTTGATCTCCATCTCGCGTCGCCTGTGAACGTCCCTCAAGAGCGTCATCTCGTACCGAATCCCCGAGACCCTGAGCTGCAGTCGTCGCACGGCGTTGTCGAGCCTGAGCCACTTGACGCACGCGTTGGGCAGGTTCGCAAACTTGGCGCCCGCGTTGATCGCGGTCTGATGCAACCCCGCGATCTTCGCGTGGTCCCTGCGCCACTCCAGGTTAAAGTTGCACAAGTTCTGTCTGTGCTGCGACGCCTCGACGTACGACGCGCGCGCGATGGCGCCGAAGAGGACGGGGTTCCATCTCGGCGTCGTCGCGAAGAACGCCTTCGACGCCTCCGACGCCGTCGGCGGCGACGGGTAGGGCGCGGCGGTCGGCGATCGACCGGCGCCGCCCCCGGACGTCGCGGCGACGTCGCGCTCGAGCTCGTCGTCGTCGCGCTCGTCGAATTCCGCCAGGCCGCGGCGGAGGAAGTCCGCGCACTCCTCGCGCGTGGAGACGCGCGCGGTCAGCGTCAGCGCCGGCGGCGGCGCGGTCGTCGCCGCCGTCGCCGTCGCACCCGCCGCGGAAGTCGCCGCGGTCGCGGCCGCGGTCGCGCAGCCGTGGTCGCGGTCGAGGACGACGAAGTCGCCGATGCGAAGTCGTCGCGCGTCGGCGTCCTCCTCCGCGCGCGCGCGCGCGTCGTATAAATCGTCGTCGTCGTCGTCGTCGTCGGCGGCGCCTCCGTCCGACGACGACGACGACGACTCTTCGTCCGAAAAGTCATCGGACGCGGACGGGGACGCGTCGTCGTCGTCGTCGTCGTCGTCGCCGTCGTCGCGCGCGCTCGGCGTCGGACCGCGCGCGGCGTCGTCCGCGACCGCGCCGGCGACGCCCTCGCGCGACGGCGACGGCGTCCGCGGCGACGACGGCGAATCGCGCTGCCCTCCGCGCGCGCGCGCCTTCTCGTCTCCCCGCGCGGTCATCGAGGCGTCGTCGTCGTCGTCGTCGTCGTCGAGCGAGATCTTCTCGAACGCGCGCAGCCATCGCGCGGCGGCGTCTCTCACGTGCCCGGGCGGCGCGTTGCGATCGACGTTCTCTCGGATCGCGGCGAGGCTCGCGACGAGCGGCACCGCGTCCTCCGCGCCGACGCGGTCGGCGACGAACGCGACGAACGCGTCGCGCGACGCCGCGGTCCCGCGCGTGACGTCGCGCAGCGCGAGCCGGCCGCGCGGATTCGACGACCCGGGGAGGCGACCGGACGCGCCGCCGCCGCGCGCGTCGCCGCCACCGCCGCCGGATCCGCCGCCGCCGGAGCCCTTCCTCGACGCTTTCTTCGCGCCGCCGGACTTGTTCTTGCCCTTGCCGCCCCCCATCGCCGCGCGATCTGGACTCGGCGCGGCGAGATCTGAGACGACGCGAGACGCGGCTGTCGAAGCCGAGGACGAAAATAGCCGGTCCTGACGAAATTAAAAGTCCAAAAACGCGTCTCTTCGTTGTCCGCGATGAAAACGATCGATCGGAGGTTCAAGCGCACGTCACCGATCGGTCGAAGCGCCAGATCGGTCAAACGTCAGAGTCATGAGTTACTTTTACGTAGACTACACGTACAAGCAAGAGCGCCACCCTCCCCATCACCCATCCATCCTTCTCTCTCTTCTTCTAGTCCACTTTCTTGACGTCGATCGCCCACGTCATGATGACCCCGTCCTCGCCGCCCGACACGAGCGTCCTCCCGTCCGCGCTGAAGCTCAGCGACAGCACGGACTTGCAGTGCGCGTGCTTGGACGCGAGCAGCCGACCGCTCTCGAAATCCCACAGCTTCAACATCTGAGGGTAAAAAAAAGTTCACCGGTCAGTTGAAAGGGACCCACGCGATCAAATGTTGAAACCGAACGATGAGTGAAAAACTTTTGTACAGAACGCACCTGATCTTTGCTTCCCGTGCCCAGGACGCCCTCGCTCGACAGCGCGACGCACGTGCACTCCCGCGCGTGCGTCCCCGGCACGATCTGCAGCGGCTGCTGCTCGCTGAGGTCCCAGAACGTCAGGCTCCGGTCCTGCCCCACGGTCACCATGGGCACGGACGCGCCGTCCGGCTCGGCGGAGGCGTCGGCGTACGAAGACCCTTGCGGTTTCACGACTGAGCGGAGTTCAAAGGCGGAGTTCAAAGGCGTCGTCAGTTAAGGTTGAAAGGCGACGAGGTCGGGCGTTGAAACCGAGGGGTGGTGCGCGGAGAGGGACGTCGACCGGGAGAGAAAGTCCTTGAGGAATGAAGTTCACAACGCGAACGCGGTCGTACGGGGACCGGCGTGAAAAAAAGAACGCACCCGACGCGTTGATGCCGCCGACGCGTTGCAGATGTTGCGTCGTCCGACGCTCGCGAATGAGATCCCACGTCAGGATGCTTCGATCCCTCGACGCGGACACCACGTGCGCGTCGCCCGCGAGGACCGCGAGCCCGACGACGCGAGCGTTGTGCTCCTTGAGCGTCGACACGAGCTGCCGCGAAGCGACGTCCCACACGCGCACGTCGCCTGCGCGGGTGAAGGGATCGGTCAGTCGAACGTCGTACCGGTCAAACGTTGAAAGGGAAGCGCGGGTGAAGAGTGTCGACGGGAAAAGAGTCCTTAAGGAACGACGTGCACCACGCGAACGGGGTCGTATGGGAAGCAGTCTCACCTCCGGCGCCGCCGGTGACGAAAAACTGCCGCTCGTTCGACACCGCGATGCACGTCACGCCGTCCACGTGCGCGTCCGGCAGCGTCCAGAGCAGCGCGCCGTCGCCGTCGCGGAACCCGCACACGTGCCCGTTGCCCCACCCGGTGAGGATCGTCCCGGGCACCGCGGCGACGCAGTTCAATCCGCCGCGCATGCGTTCCTGCGCGCGCAGCGTCCCCATCGCCATACCCTCCGCGCTGATGCTCCACGCGCGCAGCCACCCGTCGGCGCTGCCGGACACGAGCCTCTCCTGCCCGCCGAAGCAGTCCGTCGGCGCGAAGAGCACCGACGTCACCGGCGCGATGTGCGACTCCTCGTAGCACACGCTCTTCGCCGCGCCCGGTCTCAGCGTCTGCAAGGAGACGACGTACTTGTTTCCCTCCGCCGTCGCGACGACAACCTGGTTGCTCGCCGCGATCTTCGCGATGGACGTCACCGCGCCCTTCAGCGTCGCGAGCGGCTCCATCGTGTCCATCGGCGTCGGCGGGCGCTTCGGGTAGTACACGGATACGGTGCCGTCGCCGCCGCCGATGAGGTAGGCGTCCTTCGCGAGGCCGAGGTACTCGAGGCTCAGCACGCACGCCGCGTTCGACTTGCAGCACACCGCGACGTTGCGCAAAACGCATCCGTTGACCGTGAACTCGGTCACGTCACCGGACGTGCTTCCCGCGTAGAGCATCGTCGCGTCCGGGGAGAACTCCACGGAGACGTAGACGCGGCGTTGGAAGCCGGTGCCGCACTTTTGGCCGCCGAGCAATCCGCGCTTCGCGTCGACGCCCCAGACGACGCACGCCTCGACGCCCGCGGTCGCGAACGTGTAGTACGTCCCCTCGTAGATCGCGCTCGAGAACGTCACCGCGCGGCACTCCTCCGGCGCGAGCGCGCCGTTCGCGATGATCCCGCCGGTTCGCGCGTCCCAACAGAAAATTTTGCCATCCGCGGCGACGCCGCCCGAGACGAGGACGCGATCGTCCGGCGAGAAGGCGAGACACGCGACGCCCTCGTCGTGCTCCGACAGCCGGTGCAGCTCCGTCATCGTGCTCAGGTCCCACACGACGACGTCCGCGTTCGTGCCGACGCCCTGTCCGGACGCGAGGTACCGACCGCTGGGCGACACCGCGAGCGCGGCGATGTCGCCGTCGTGCCCGCGGAGGAAAGCATTCTTCGACGGGTCCGCGAGCGACGCGACGACGACGGTGGACGCGACCGCGTAGTAGACGCGGTCGGGGTCGTTCGGGTCCGTCTGCACCGCGCCGATCACGGAAGAGCTGCGCGCGAGGGAGGGGAGGGGGGTGGGGGTCGGCGGCGATCGAGAGAGGACGAGGGCGGTCGCGCGGAGAGACGAAGGAGGCGGAGAGCGCGCAAAGTAAGATCCATTCGACGACGAATCGAACGACGGACGCGACGAATGAATCGCACCTGAGCCCCGCGGCGTGCCGGAGCTCCAGAGTCGCGCTGACGACCGTGCCCGGGTACATGTCGCTCTTCCACTCGATCTCCTCCCCGGACTGACCGGGTTTAGGTTGCGCCATGACGGCGGGGGGGGGACGAGGCGCGGTGGAGCGGCGCGCGTCCAACTGCGCGACGATCTTGCCTAAACGGGAACGAGGGGGGGGGAAAGCCGCGCGCGACCGGAAATCGGGCCAGGCCAGGCCGCGAAATAATCGCAGTCGTTTAATTTTCAGAACTTCTACTACGTGTACACGTAGTCTCTCGCGCGCGACGCTCGCTCGCTCGAGGCCCGACCCGCCCTCCTCGCGTCCCTCACGCGCTCTTCTTCTCGACGACCGCGGTCACCAGCTTCTTCTTCACGACGACCGGGGTGAAGTCGTCCGGGCTCGACTCCCAGATCACCGTCCCGTCGCAGTCGCACACCCTCTTCAAGTTTTCGCCGACGCCCGCGCTCCTCGCGAGCACCGCCGCCGCGCCGGTTGACGTTCCATCTTCCCCTCCTCCTCCTCCTCCTCCTCCTCCCTGCTCCACGACCGCCAACGACCTCCCGATGATGTCCCACGCTTTCAGACGCGCGTCCACAACGCGGCTAACGATCGTGACCTCCCCGTTCGCGTCGGCGACGAGCGTCCCCATGTCCCCCGCCGCCCGCCGCGCGTTTTCGCTCGAGTCGTCACCATCGTCATCGGCGGCGTCGTACACCTCGCCGACCGTCTCCAACCCGCGCGTCGTGTCGCCGTACGCGCGCACGGTCATCGCGTACGTCGCGAAAGGTTTCAACCCTCTCAGCCCGCCCTCGATGAGCGTGTTCCGCTCGTCCGCGGCGACGAACCGAACGACGCCCGCGATCGATCCGTGGCCGTACGCGCTTCCCTTGAACTCCGCCACCGCCGCGAGCGACTGCCGCAGCGTCCGAAGATTCGTCCCGAGCCGCCGCGCGAGCTCTTCGCCGAACGCGCCGACGTCGCCCTGCCCGATGAGCCTGCAGTTGAACCCCGCGCGCTCGATCGCGGCGACGATGGCATCCGTCGACGCGGTCGCGGTGACGACGCGGACGCTGTTCGTCGAGAGCGTCGCGGCGACCGCGTCGATCCCGGGCACGTGCGCGAGCGCGTGCTCCACCTTGGCGACGCACTTCCCGCACGCCATCTCGACCATGAACTCGAGCGAGCGCGCGACGGGGGCTTCTTCCGCGGCGGTCGTGGATTCCGCGGCGGTGGATTCCGTCGCGGACGCGGACGCGTCGCGGCGAGGGGGGGGCGCTCGGACGCGGCGCGTCGTCGGACGTCGCGACGACGACGCGCGCGGCGGCGCGCGCGGCGCGACCGCGACCGCCGCGCGCGAGACGCACGACGCGGCGGACATGCCGAACGCGCTCGAGATGATCGCGGCGCGGTCGCGCGCGACGATATGATGCACGATGCGCTTTCCGTGAGCGCGACGCGCCGACACGCCCACTTCTACTTCTCGAAGCCGACTCGACGGTTTCGGAAGGCTTCGTTCGGACGCGTTTGAACCCTGAACGACGGTCTACGCCGCGCTCGACTCGACTGAACCCGCAGCCTCGGACACGTCATCCGCCCATCAGCCACTTTTTTCTTTTTTCCGAGAGGGGGAACCGCGTCATTCCCCCCTCGCGCGAACCCACGCACGACACGATGATGGCCGCCACGACGACCTGCACGTTCACGACCGCCGCCCGCCACGTCTGCGGCGCGAACTGCGCGTGCGCTCGGTGCGTTCCCTCGTCATCGCGTCCTCGTCGACCGATCGGTCGATCGATAAAAATCGCACCGCAACCCTAGAAGATAGACAACCCTTTTCTATCGATATCGATCGATCGACGGCTGACGCGCGCGCCTCCCTCGACGCGATCCGACAGCGCGTCGCTCTCCGCGAAGGCGTTCACCCCGCGCGCATCCCCGGGCCGCGCCGCCTCCCTCGTCGTCCGCGCCGCGGACGAGAAGAAGGCGGTCTGCGTCCTCACCGGCACCGCCGGCGTCGAGGGCACCGTGACGTTCACGCAGTCGGGCGACGGCCCCACGAAAATCGTCGGCGACATCTCCGGCCTCGCCGAGGGCCTCCACGGGTTCCACATCCACGAGTTCGGCGACACCACGAACGGCTGCATGTCCACGGGGCCGCACTTCAACCCGAACGGGATGACGCACGGCGCGCCGACGGACGAGATCCGTCACGCGGGAGACATGGGCAACGTGACGGCGACCAAGGCGCGTTCTCCTATTCGCACTGGTCCCCATACGACCGCGTCGGCGCGGTGAACGCCGATCCTTAAGGACTTTACTTCCCGTCGTTCATCTCCGCCCAACACCCCTCGCTTTCAATCCCGACACACCGCGATGCCTTTCAACTCCGCTTCTGACGCCTTTGAACTCCACCCCGACGTCGCTTTGAACGATGGAACGACCCTAAGGACGGGTGCGCGTTTGAGATCGAGGACGCGCAGATTCCCCTCTCGGGCGCCAACACGATCGTCGGCCGCGCGTGCGTGATCCACGAGCTCGAGGACGACCTCGGCACGGGCGATCACTCCGAGCCCGGGACGCAGGGGAAGACGAGCAAGACGACGGGCAACGCCGGCGGAAGGCTCGCGTGCGGCGTCATCGGCCTCACCCCGAACTAAATGATACATTTTGATCGGAGAGACGTTTCGTTTCGCGGCGACGGCGACGACGACGACGACGGCGACGGCGACGGTCGCGCGCGTTCGAGATCGAAGAAGAACGAATCGCTAACGTGAAATACTAAAGAAAGAGAGAAAAAGAAGAACCCACGACACACAGCGCGGGTCTCGCCCCGCCCGTCGCTTCCTTCCTCCTCTCCGCTACGAGCCTACGGCGGATGACCCCCGCGGCTGATCCCCCGATCACGCGGCGGCGGCTTCCCGTCCTCCTCCTCCGCCGCCGCCTCCGCCGGCCGCCGCCGCCGCCGCCTCCGCCGCGATCTTCGCGTTCGCGCGATCCGTCCGCGCGTTCTGCCAGTGATAATACTGCGCCGCGAACACGTGCTCGCACGCGCGCGGGTTGCGCATGGCCGCTCGAAACGCGGGATCCTCGAGCTGCTCCAAAAAATACAGCGCGTGCGGGTACTGCACGAACCTCGCGTACTCCGGTCGCGTCCAGTACGAGAGGTAGTCGAGATACGCGACGAACGCGGGGTCGTCCAGGATGTCGTTCACCGCGAGGTCTGCGCGGCGGGAGCGCGGGGAGGGGCGGCGGGTGAGGGAGGGAGGACGAGGACGACGGCGAGATCCGTCCGAGCGCGCGAGGGGCGCTTCTTCGCGATGCTGCGGTTCGATCGACGCGGGCGGGGCGGGAGGGCGCGCACGGTGGACGTATCGCGGGTTCGCGAGCGCCATGACGAACTCGAGCTCGAGGATGAAGCGCTTGTCGTTCGGAAGTCCGGTGGCGATCTCCGCCGCGCGCGTCTCCGCGGCGGTCGGCGCCATCGCGCGGTGTGACGCGGTGTGACGCGCGGCGCGGCGCGGTGCTCGAAAAAAAGTCGTCTCTCGTCTGTTGATGTTGCCGCGCGATCGACATCGACGGGCGTCGCGACACTCCGCCGTGCGCGCGTGACGCGCGGCGGTCCCCTTCCTTCGCGAGCCGCGCGCGATGCGCCGCGGCTTCGGGAAGTGCGGGACGATCCTCTTCGACGGCGTCATGTTCCTCGCCGCGTTGACGCTGCTGTGCCGCGTCTGGGCCGCGGCGTCGTCGTCGAGCGACGCCGACGACGTGCCAGCATCATTCGTCGCGTCGGGTGCGACGACCGACGCGACGCCGTCGCCCTCCTCCGCCGCCTCGACGTCGTTCCCTCCTCTCGCCTCTCGCATCTCGCCTTCTCGCCGTCCGCCGCCCACCGCGTTCGCGAGCCGCATCGCGCGGACGTCGCCGCCGTTCGAGACCCACGACGGCGGCGACGTTCCCGGCTCTCTGTCATTCGTCGAACGCGAAGATCGCGTGGGGGCAGCGCGGCGCGCGCGTTCGCGTCAGAGTGGACGCCGACGCGGACGCCCGCGCGCGCCGCGCGTCGCGCCGCGGCGTCGCGTCGACGACGCCGCGCCGCGTCGCGGCCCCCGTCGTCGCGGCTTCAACTAGCCGTCGCGGCGTGAAGCCCCATCGCCGCGACGAACCAAGCGACGAGCATCTGCATCTCTCTCATCATTCGACATCGTCGCGCGCGCGGCGTCGTTTTTCATCCTCCCGCCGTCCCTCTCACCGCCGCTCCCTCTCCCGCGCTCGCGTCCGCGTCAGGGGTGAACAGCACGACGTGACGCGCGCCTCAGGACGTAGCCGTAGAACATCGCGGCGCCGCGTGTAGAGAATAAGACGCGTCGAACCCTCCCGCCGCCGTCGTCGTCGTCGTAACGCTCGTCGCGTCGAACGAAGTTTTTCCACGCTGCGCGCGCACTCGCTGCTCGTCGTCTGAGCGCCCGCCCGCGAGATCGCGACCGACGTTTCTTTCCATCCCATCCTTCAAACGCGCGCCCGCACTCGTCGTCGCGCGACGGTCCACGCGCGCGCGCGCGCACGCACAGCGCACGATGCACAACCCGTTCAAGGTGCGCGAGGACGCGAGCCCTCCTCGGGGCCCGTCCGCCGCGCGGAGGAGGAGACGCCCCGCGATCGGTCCGGTCCGGTCGTCGTTCGTCGTTCAGATTCCGTTCGCGCCCTCCCGACGCGGTTCGCGGATCCGCGCGTCCGACGTCTGACGCGTCGCCCCCTCCCCTTCTCCCGCCTCCCTCCGTCCACGCGTCGCAGAGCTCGAAGTTCAAAGGGTCCGGGCAGACGCTCGGGACCAAGGCGGAGGACGAGGAGCGGAAGCGCGCGAAGAGGGAGGCGCTCGAGGCGGCCGCCGCGCGGTCGACGACGGGCGCGTCCGCTCCCCGCGCCGGCGGCGGCGCCGGCGCGGCGGCGCTGAGCCGCGCGGGCGGAGGAGGAAGAGGCGGAGGCGGCGGCGGCATCGACGTGGACGCGATGCGGCGCGAGGTGCTCGCGGAGAGGGAGAAGCGCCGAGCGGAGCGCGCTGCGGCCACCGCGGCGGCGGCGGCGTCCGAAGCCGCGATCGACGCGGACCTCTCGCACCCCGCCTGCGCGTCGATCGACGCCGCGATCGCGCGGCTGGCCGCGATCCCAGATCGCGCGGTGGCCGTCGGCGCGGCGGCGACGCTCGCGAGGGTCGTCGCGAACGTCGCGACGTCGCCGGAGGACGCGAGGTACCGGAGGCTTCGACTCGCCAACGAGAAGATCGCGGCGGCGACGACGCGCGCGGACGGCGGCGTCGCGCTCCTCGAGGCGCTGGGCTTCGTCGCGATCGAGGAGCCCGAGAGCGGGGACGCGTTCTTGGCGCTGCCGGAGAGCGTGCGGGATGTCGCGCCGTTTCAGGTGGCGATACGACGGTTCGTGTCCGCCGGGTTGTTGTCGCGGGCGGCGGCGTCGGCGTTGACGACGCCGAAACCGCCGCCGAGGGCGGATCCGACGAAACCACCGAGTAACGGCCGAGAAACGCGCGTTTTCTTACCCGCGGTGACGTGCGCCGCCGCGGTGACGGAGCTCCCGGACGAGTACTTCAAGCGCGACGCGAGCGAGATCCAGGCGGAGTTTAAAGCCGCGGCGGAGCGACGCGAGAACGCCGGCGCGCTCATGACCAAGGCGTGGAGAGAAAAAAATATGAATAAAAACGGCGACGACGACGACGACGACAAGGCCGACGCCAGACCGGTGACCGTGCGCGTGCGCGTCCCGGACGGGTGCGTCTTGGAGGGGAAGTTCATGCCGAGGGAGCCGATCGCGGTCGTGCGCGAGTGGGTCAGCGGCGCGCTGAGGGAGCACTTTCGCGCGTTCGCGTTGAGGTGCGTTCTATACGCTGGTCCCCATACGACCGCGTTGGCGTGGTGAACGCCGATCCTTAAGGACTTTTGCCGGCGCATCTCTCCGCCCAGGGTCCCTCGCTTTCAATCCCGACACACCTCGACGCCTTTCAACTCCACCCCTGACGCCTTTCAACTCCACCCCGACGTTCGCTTGTATGGAACGACCGTGAGCTTTCTCAACGCGCCTCTGATCGGCGACGCGACGGACGGGGAAGGCGGCGGCGCGGGCGGTGGAAACGCGAAATCACTCGGGGTGCGCGCGGGCGGTGGAAACGCGAAATCGAAATCACTCGGGGTGGGCGCGGGGGACGGGTATAAAGGGAGAGGGTACGCGCGCGTCGGCACGGTCGCCGGCGCGGGGCTCGCGCCGTCGGCGTTGCTGACGTTTTCGTGGAGGGAACCGTCGGCGCCGGGGAGGAACACGGACGGAATCGCGCAGGTTCTGAGCGACGCGTTGATGCGCGATGCGACGCCGTTGGAGTAGCGCAGCGCACGCGCGTCCGCGACGAGCTCGAAGAGCGTCGACTACTAGCAGGTACTAAAACTGAATCTACAAAAGACGACGACGACGCGACGACAGACGACGACGCGCCGCCGCCGCCGCCGCCGACGACTTCTCTCCTCGCCTCGCGCGTCGTCGATCGCGATCGTCACTCCGGCGCGATCGACCCCCCCAGCGCGACGAGCTTCGCCTCGAGCTCGCTCGCGCGCGTCGCCATCGCCGCGGCGACCTCCTCCAGCGCCGTGACCTGCGCGTCGACGCCGCGCAGTGAACGCAGCAGCGGCGACAATTTTTCGCTCTTTTCGCTCAGACGCCCCGCGAACGCGCGAAGGTCCTCCGCCGTGGACGCGATCGCGTCGAACTTCCGAGACGCCTCGTCGTGCGCGTCCGCGGAGAGTCTGAACTCCGCGGCGACGATCGCGAGCTCCGCGGAGAGGTGTTTCGACGTCTTCGCGAACGCATCCGCGGCGGCGGCTTTCAACGCGTCGTCGCCAGAGGCGGGGCCCCGCGGCGGCGCCGTCGACGCGTCCCGGCCGTTCGACGCGGCGGCGCGCTCGTTCCCGCGCCCGCGCCCGGGCTCCTCCTTCCCGGCGTTGCTCTTCCTCCCAAAGTTCGCGACGAAGTCCCGCGCCGCCGCGGACGCGAGCCCGCCGTCGTCCTCCCCGCCGCCGCCGCCGCCGCCGCCGCCGCATCGCGCGAAACGCTCGTCGCACGCGTACTTAGGGTCGTTCCATACGAGCGAATATCGGGGTGGAGTTCAAAGGCGTCAGATGGATTTGTAAGGCGTCGAGGGCGGGGATTGAAAGCGAGGTGTGGGCGGAGAGAGACGACGGCAAAAGTCCTTAAGGATCGGCGTTCACCACGCGAACTGGGTCGTATGGGGACCAGTGTATAGAACGCACCTTATGCGCGGCGACGACGTCCGCGTCGTCGCCCTCGCACTTCCCCCCTCTCAAGAACGCGCGCCCCATCGCGATCAGCCGCATCGCGTCCCTCGCGACGTCGCCGTCGACGTCGTCGGTCTCGAAGTCCTCCACCGCTGAGGGTCGTTCCGTCGTTCGAAGCGATGAAATCGGGGCGGAGTTGAAAGGCGTCAGAAGCGGAGTTGTGAGGCGTCGCGGTGTGTCGGGATTGAAAGCGTGGGGTGATGGGCGGAGAGAAACGAACGCCGGGAAGCAAAGTCCTTAGTAAGAAACGACGTCCACCGCGCGAACGAACGCGGTCGTACGGGAACCAGTGTGAAGAAGAGGACGCGCCTGCGTCTCGCTGTCGTTCGGACAACGACGAGACGTGCGGGACGATCTTCGCGACGATGGCGTCGGCGCTGAGCTCGGGGTGCCCCTGCCACGCGAGGACGTTGTCGCCGCGGCTCCAGATCTCGTGCGGCGCCGTGGCGGACGTCGCGAGCGTCGTCGCGGAGGGCGGGAGCGACGTCACCGCGTCGCCGTGGGATTCGAACACGGTCATGATGACAGAATCGGAATCCGCGCTCGACGACGGAAACGACGCCGCGGCCGATTGGTAGTCGTCGCGCTCGAGCATCGCGCGATGGCACGTCACGCGCTCGCGCTTCAGCGTAAACCCGCCGTCTCCGCGCGGGTTCTTCCCCGCGGCGCCGCCGAGCGCCTGCGCGAGGATCTGGCACCCGAAGCACACGCCGAGCACGCGCACGCCTCGCGAGGGATCGCACGCCTCGGCGAGGAACGAACGAAGCGCGTCGATCCAGCCGCGGCCGTCGTTGACGCCGTGATGCGATCCGGTGACGACGAGCCCGGCGTAGGAGGAGAGCGACGCGAGCTCCGGGAGCTCGCCGCTGAAGCACCGGAAGTGTTCCCTGATCGACGACGGACGACGGAGGGCGACGAGCGGGGAGACGGAGGAGGGCGACGGCGGGGTCGAGGTCGGCGTCAGCGGGGTGATGGACGGACGGAGGCGAACGACGCCGAATCGAATCGGAGGACGCGCGGGGAGGACGCGGGAAGGACGCGCCATCGCTCGCCCGCTCTCGAGAACAAGCGCGAGATCGCGATCGCGTGGCCGTCCCACTTGTCCGCGTCCTCGCAGTCGAGGATCGCGAAGCGCGTGCGCGGCGCCATCGCGCGCGCGTGTCGCACTGATTGATGACGGGAAGAGTAGAGCTCGTCATCGCGTCGAGTCGCCGAAACTCTTCGAGTTCGACGCGATGCGCTCCACCGCGACGCGCGCGATCACAGCGCCCCGCGCTCGGAGAGCGCGACATGCTCCGGTCGCTGCGTCGCGCGCTCGGCGCGCTCGCGGTCTCCTCCGCGGCGTCGACGTCCGCGACGCCCGCCGCCTCCGCGGCCGCCTCCGCGGGGGGGCGGCTCCTCGATCGCGGCGCGGCGCTCGTCGCGTCGTCGCTCGGTCGCGTCCTCCGCTGGCGCTCTCGTGGGGAGCCGCGGGCTGATGGTGCGGGACCAGCTGCTGCGACCGTGGCAGTTCGAGACGATGGGGATCGCGCGACCGCACGAGCTGCCGAAGCGACAGCGCGTCGGCGCGCTCGCCGTGAAGGTGGGCATGACGCAGGAGTGGAACGAGCACGGCGCGCGCGTGCCGCTGACCGTGCTGTGGATCG